TAAGACTGAGGAACTGAAACTCTTGCTAAACTGGCTTTTAAGTGATAGACCTGGGCTTGAATTAAACATCCTTTTCAAAATATGTGCTCCTTCTACTGTGATAACATATAATTTACAATGCAAATGTTTCATATGTATTATTGTTTTACTTAATTTGCACCGTGATTCAAAATGGTGGTCTGATTGATCGGCTTGGCTAACACTTATCACACTTTGTTCCTGTACTTTAACCACCTGACATTGACTCACTCTTTTTTATTTTTTTAAAGACTCATTTTGTTTGTGAATACAAGAACTGGGATACAGGCCAGAGGTGGGAGGAGTGGTGAGAAGATTCACCAGAGACAGAACAGGGAACAGAACAAGTGTACTGAACTGAAACACTCTGCTGAGGGAGCAGCAGGTGAGACAGGAGAGATCTACCTTGCCATGTGGGTCACCTCCCTGGCTGGGGATCAAATTCATGCTGCAGTGGCTGCTGATAGCTTCATAGTAATGAGACTTAACCCCTTATGCCACTCAGGAGGCCCTTCACTCTTCCTTGCAAAGTATCTTTTTTGCCCCTTAACGTTTTGTAGCAGGCTGAACTATTTTCTCTTCTAAGATATATATTTTCTTTTAAATGATTTTATTCACAGCCCTCATGTCACTCCATTGGTGAATGTCTTCTTTCCCATACACCTTGAATATCAATATGATATGGGGAGGACCACAGAGTGCAAATGATCTGATGGCTGACACCTGGGAGGACTTGTAATCACCCTCCACCTTTCACCTGTGCCCACCATCTTGGTAGCTGTAACCTCAGGAAGGATCAGACACATTTTGTTGTGAATTTGTTTTAGTTTCACTGATTTCTGTTCTTAGAAGATACTTTCTTCTTAGTTTCACTTAGCACTAAGTGAATCACAGTGATTTCTCAGCTATTGCTGATTATACGTAAGTACTTACAATTTTTACCTATTGAACAGTTCCTCTAACTAGTCAAGTTATGGCTCTACATCTAACAACTATTTTATAAGCCTCGAGTTTGACAGTACTATAGAAGAAATTCATTTTAGTAATAATCGTCACTAAATAAGTTTGGGCGCAAAAGGAGTAAGAGTAACTGTAAGACGAAAAGGTCCTAACTGGTTGTTTTTTCCATCGGTATGACCCCGAAGAAGATATTTAACAACCTCTGAACCTCAATTTCCAACATGCCAACATGCCAAAGACCAATAATGGTCTTTATAGCATTGAATTGTGAGATTTGAGTGAGAACATGGAAGCATGCCTGGCACATAGTGAAAACCTCAAAGGGGTTGGCATCAAAAAATACATTATTTTTACAACCTAAAATTTTTGAAATTGCATTATTTACTCCAACATCATGTTAAATGATTTCATTATTTTCACAAGTGTTAGCATCAGAGTTATAGAATAAAATATTTAGAAAAAGCTGAATATGAAGATGTTTTCTCGACCATGAGTTAGAGAAAGATGAATTTGGGCACTCCACATTGAGTCTGCCATTCCTTACTTAGGTGACTAGCTAGCTAAAACAAGAGGGGGTTGAACTAGGTGAATGCCCAGTGTCTTCAATGTCAAAAATTACTCCAACATCAGCAATGTCTTTATTTCTGATTACTCTATGCATGACCCTGTTGGTCTTAAAGATTTGGAAAATCCAGAAAAATAAACTCATCAGAGCACATTTTCCCCCTGCCACACCAAACAGCCAATGGTCATTATACACCTGGTTGACAAGTGTGATGGAGATGACAGAGAAGACAGCAAAGAGACACCTACTCCCCGCCCTTTTTCTTGAACCAAGGCTTGGATTCTTATTTCATTTACTGAACAATACCCTGAAAATTTCTTTGTGACTCATCTTAGATACAAAGTCACTTAAATAATGAGTTGAAATAAAAGAGAATCCAATCTCAATGGCCATTAATAAAATCTTAGCCTTCCTATTACTAAAAATAAAATTACAATAATACAAAACACTTATATACACATATACACATGTGCAGACATTGTAAAGATACAAGCTTGTGCTACATGTGAGCTAAATCCTTGCAGCACAGACAATGGGTACTCATCGACACTGTTATAACAGTCGTCTGCCAACTAGGAATGTTGGCAGCTTATATGCTTTTACAGTACAGGGTGCTGTGGGGAGCAATGAAATGTCTGCAGCCTGCTAAGGATAATTAAGTGCTGGCAATTCCCCTTCCAGGTAATAGCTTTTGAGCTATAAAGGGGCAGTTAAGTAAGCACTCCCATCTTAATATCAATTTCAAGAGATAAAAACGATTTTAAAATTCCATAATGTCTAAATTTGGTACTGCTGTTTGGGAGGTGAAGAAACCTTGCAGTCTTGTGCTTTTTATGAAGGGATAATTGCCTGTTTCAAATCTCCATTAGAATTTTTATCCGGTTAAATTGTGGAAGCTCACAACGAAGGAGACACCCTTTTCAAGCTGCAATTTTTTTTCTTGCACAGGAATCTGGAAACCTCTGCAGACAGACTGCAGTAATACCACTTCTGAGTGTCTAAGTAACTTTTATCTAGTGAAAAATTCTTCATCGAGCCTGAATTCTAGCCGCGATTGAGTCTCAAAGGACTTCAGTTCTTCAACCGACTGTCTCTCCTCTTCTGAACTGCAGTTTCACCCTCTCAGCTGCCTGCTTTCCCTCAGCATTGAAACATGTCCACATGATGTGTCTTCACAAAACAAAACAGGACTGACATTCCCTTGGCTCCTAGACCCCCAAAGAGTTGTCTTTCTCTCCCTTTTATATCAGCGTATCATTGAACTCTTGCTTTGTGAACTTCTCTACTGCCTGCTCATAACTTACTGTGATCAGGCTTATGTCTTCTCCCCTCCCTTTCACAAATTCCCATGGGAGGGTTTGTATTGCACTCCCAGGAAATCCTTCTTTCAAGGTTTTCTTCTTGCCAGTGGCCATTCCTTCTTAGTTCCCTCAAAGTCCTTGCATGTCGCGATCGCGAGAGTTCTGAAGGCAGAACTTCTACAGTCCAGGATGTGATCCCAACCATTCCGAAGTTTTTCTCTTCCACTGGTAAATCAACAATTCCTGTCTCTGTGCAACGGCTGTTTTCAGGACTCAGCTTTCTGAGGCTGAGTTGGCATATTCTCTTGGATATCTCCCAGACATCGTAAATTCATTCTGCCTAACACATCTGCGCCAGCTACAATTTGCTCTTCCTCTAATACTCGCTTCTCAGTAAGTGGTTCCACAATCTAACCTTTAAGTCTTGAACACCCATTAGGTGTGTGTAGTATGAGGATAAAGAGAAAGATGTCGGGGCCCTCCCTGGTGGCACAGTGGGTTAAGGCTCAGCACTATGAAGCTATCTACAGCCACTGCAGTGCAAGTTTCATACCCAGCCAGGGAGGTGACCCACATGGCGCGACAGACCTCTCCTGACCAGCCCAGCTGCTCCCCTCAACAGTGTATTTCAGTCCATCTGCCTGTTCTACTCACTACTCTGTCTCTGGTGAATCCTCTCTTCCTCTCTCTCTCTCTCTCTCTCTCTCTCTCTCACTCGCACACGGGCCCTCCACGGTGGTACAGCGGGTTAAAGCACAGCACTAAGAAGCTAAAGCCACTTCAGCGTGAGTTTGATCCCCGCCCCTGTAGGTGATCCACATGGTGCAGCAGACTTCTCCTGACCCACCCTCAGCAGTGTACTTCATCAATCTGCCTGTTCTGCTCCACACTCTGTCGGGGGTGAAGCTTCTTACCACCCCCACACCTCTGACCTGTACCCCAGTTCTGTATGTATAAATAAATCTTCAAAAGAGAGAGAGAGATGCCAGAAGCAGACTCCCAGAGTCTGACACTCAATTCTCTCATTTATAAGCTCTGTTGTCCTGGGGGAGATTTTTAGCTCTCTTCTTCCACTGTAAAATATAAATAACAATAAGTATTATCACCACAGTGTTGTTAACACAATTAATTAACTTTTATAAAGGACCTCAATATTTAATTGTTTTCATCTTCCCTTTTAGTCCCTATTCAACACACACCATAATACTCCCTTCTACTTAAAGGCACTAAGTATCTCCCATGGTGCTTATAATCCAAATTTCTCCATTACATGTCTGGACTCTGTGTTCAGCTTAGGCCCTACCTCCAGGGCTCCCAGGCAAAAGCATTTCCTTGTGCTCTACTCTCTAGGTCTCTTCATGTCCCTTTCCTTTGCCAGTTTCCCCCAATTTGCAGCCACTACTTAGTCACGCTTGCAAGTGTCAGCAAGCGTGGACATCACTCTTGAGGATAGCTTGCCCCACACTGGTTTAGTGCCCACCACTAAATTCCCACACCACCTTGTGATTTCCTTTATAGCACGTGTATGCTTCATCAGTTTTTGTAATAGATTCTTTGCCCTATTCAGCCATTAAGCCTATTCTCCGTGAAGGGAAGGACAGTATCTCTTTAATTCCCACTCCGATTATTTGGACTATCCTAGATGTTGAATACATCAGTGAACAAGTTTTGCATTCACATATCCTGGGTAGGGCTCATACTGAGGAAAGAAATGGTACAAAATATGAATCTCAGGGGTCTGGGGAGAAAATCTAGAAAGTTTGCTATCTGGTCTCACAGAACGAAAAAATACCGAATATCTTAATCATTAATTTAACATTAAATACTCAATATCTTAATATTAAAATTTATAATTATTTGTAATCATTTTAAAATATTTTAAATTTCAAATGCTTGGTGATGGGCTTCATTGTACTTTAAATGAATTAAATTACAGTAAGATGCTCTAAATCTGTGTTACTATAACATTGATTATAATTTTTCAAATGACGACACCCCATCCAACATTTATCAAATCTTACAGTTGACAATGAAAAGACACTCAAATGTATTTCCTTAGTGAAAAACTATGTACCCAAACTGTGCTTTATTTTTGTTTTATTTCTGCTTCTTACTTCATGTGGTCGCTTTCCTAATGATTGAATCTTCTAAACCAGGTGCAGTTATATGATAGACAATGTGATTCTATTGATGAATGGTGCATTGCAAAAAAAATCTGTGAAAGAAATTCTGGTGAAATGCCACCCATTGGGCCGGTTCACAGAAATGGAAGCAGTCAACATTGCAGAGACACCATCTGACCTCTTCAGTGCTGTTCTGGTTGAAACACCATTAGGTATGAACGCATAAGTAGTGATACTGCTGTCTCTATGTTATCACAGTCATCCCAAACTGTACCTTCAATTCACATTTTTTTCTCCACGAATACTATGCCATACTATGCAGATTCCTAGAAGTGGAAGGGACAATACATAATCATCTACTAGTCTGAGTCTTTCATTTTTCAGTAAGTCAAATGAAGTAACCAGTCCAGGGTCACAAATAAGCCATTTGTAGCCAAGAAAATGCTGGGTCTCATCTCCCAACTTCTTTTTTTTTTTCCTAAAGATTTCTTTATGCATACAGAACTGGATTGTAGGCCAGAGGTGCAAGGGCAGTGAGAGGATTCACCAGAGACAGAGTGGAGAGCAGAATAGACAGATGGACTGAAGTACATTGCTGAGGGGAGCAGCGGGTGAGACAGGCAAGGTCTACTGAGCCATGTGGATCCATCCCAGAGCAGGGATGGAATTTGCACTGAAGTGGCTCTGGTTGGCTTGCAGTGGTGTGCCCTAACCCGTTGTGCCACCAAGGTGGGCCCACACCTCCCAACTTCAAAACCATTGTACTTTGCACTAGACCATAGTAAGAAAATAAATGAATATAATTTTGCAAAAAATTTCTAACTGAACTTTATACAATTAATTTCTTATACTTTTATTTTAGACTTGTGTCTAAATAAGTTTGCATATAAAGATGCATTTAAATTTAGGAAGTTTAGGAATATAAATTTCTTCTGAAATGCTCTTAACTTTTATAAAGGACCAGTGAAATTCACTGCTGAGGGAGCAGTGGGCAGGACAGAAAGAGCTCTGCTGTGCCATGGGGTTCACTTCCCTGGGCGGGTATCAAACTCATGCTGCAGTGGCTGGTGTTAGCTTCATAGTGCTGAGACTTAACCACTTGTGCTACCAGGGAGACCCAATGGAGGTGATTTTAAAAAGTAAGACTTACAGTGAATAGTCCCAAGATATTTTGAAGATTAAATAAATATATCCAGAGTCTAGTATAAGATTTACACATGGTCACTGGTTAGTAAATAATCCCTCCTATCGCCATCACTAGTGTCAGTCTGATTGCTTGTATCTGTGTCCTAGGATTAGAGGTGAGCACAGGGTTATTGGTTGAGGAGACATTTTTGTAGTTTATAATCATATTGTGGCTAATACACATCATTTGACATTTTCTGTTTTCAGCTCCATTCTTTCAAGATTGTATGTCTGAGAATATTCTAGATGAGCTGAACATTGAAATACTAAGAAATAAACTCTACAAGGTAACAAGTTCCCCATATATTGTTTTTTTATTGCACAGTATACCATAGCTAGAGTTCTCCACTTAGAGTTACTTTGTCCACTAGCCAACTTCTGCAACTGTGAAGTTATTCCACCAGTTATATAGCTTTTCTACTCTTGGCTTATCTTCCAGCTAATACATATGTGTCAGCTTTTCTCAACCAGGGAACTCTCGATAAGAAGTAACATATCCCTATCTCTTTGCATGATGCCTGGAATATAAAAAGGTGTCAAGCATGTGTGTGGTGTGTCAGTGGATTGATGAGTTGGATAAACCATATCAATCTATTTTAAAACAATCCACATCCATTGTGAATCTTGTGTTATACAGTGTCAAACTCTATCCTCGATCCTATTACAAAGATCCTGAATTTCACCTGTCACAATTTTAAACACAATTTTAATCCACTGCTAACAATGTGCAGCATACCAAGATGACCAATTTGTGACACTACATCATATGTAGCATTTTGTATAACCAGATGTTTGTTTGGACTATGCTGCCAATTTGAAGTAGCTAATGTA